GATTTTACAACAAAGCCTTGAAAATTACAAAAATAAAAAAAAATTAGCCTAAAATTAATAAAAAAAACCAAAATAATTCAATAAATCACATTACAACAAATTTTCCTTTATAGATCATAATACACATTATCGAAGAGCAATCCCTAAAAATACTGAATAATAATAATAATCATAAAATAATATATAAATATATAATATATCTGTAAAATATAATCTGATAATATAATAATATAACACTTTGTGTTTATCATATTAATATTTAATTGCAAAATATATAACTTTGCATATATCTCGTCCAGTTTGAGTTCAGTTTATAGTTCAATAGTTTTTAAAATTACTAAATATGTGTAATGTAACTGAAAGGTCATTCTAAAATTAGTTTTGGTCTTTTAAGGGGTTGTGGCATGTAAGAGATTATAGTGATATTATCTCTGACTCGTCTTTCATGTGATTAAAATGAGATCTAAGGCGCCTCCTATTCATTCTGACAGCTGCTGTCTGAACTGTGGTCTGATCCAAGATGGCCGCCCTCTAGGCATGCCAACAGCGTCCAATGAGGCGTCTACGCATATAACGTCTATGGTCAAAGGATTCTTAAGTGCGCCATCGGTGTGGGGTTTCTCACCTGTCGGGTGGGGCCATCCTGACATCCCGGCACAGCCATCCTGACCAGGCACAGTAGGGATCTCTGGACAACACACACTCACCGCAGCTCAGGTAGTTGGAGCAGTTAGCCACGGGAACCTCCACCAGGCCTGAGTACGACGACACGAACAACAGACCCTACACAGGAGGAGGGAGAGAAAAGAAAAAGCCATTTCAACTCTGTGCGTGACTAAAGATCAACGCAGACCACAGGAAGCAATCTGCTTTAGGTTATGGGTTTTTGATTTCAAAAAAGGAACATCAGACTGAAACAATTACTTCAGATAAACAGAAGAGGCTAACCTAGCTAATGAACCAAGCCTGGCCAGCTGGTTTCAGTCTTCACGGCACTGCAATCAGTGCATGTTCACAATGTCAGGAGTTTGTTAGACAGTTCTTTGTTCACAGCAGTGAACGTTTTAGTGTCGGCAGAGGGAAAAAGTCCAACAATACAACACAGCAAGCAAGCCAATCCTCCTTCCTGGAGCTAAGCATTTACTCATAATAAATATCCCTGCTTTTACTAGAATTACAGAATTGCAAATAAAATTGTAGTTTGGTAGCTTTGCCCAAGAGAGACGTCTTTATGCAATAAGTAGGATCGAGGTAATGAAATTTAGCTCCAGTAAAGCACCAGAGAGTATAATAAACTGTCTTCCAGGCAGAGCTACAGCTAATTCAAAGGAAAGGCTGGAGTGGAGGGAGAATATCTGGAGTCATTTTACCATCTTATCAGTTTACAGATGCTACAAGTAAGAGTAAAGACTTCATTTAAACTCATATGAAAAGAACCAGAGCAGCATCAGTAGCTTATCCTCACTGTATTTGACTAAGTGTCTTTGTTCCTGTGTGTTAACGTCGTGACGTACCCGCTGAGAGTCCAGCTCCATGTGCTGCACGGGCTGCGGCTCTGCAAACAGAACCATCTCCTCTATGATGTGCATCTTATCGTTAACATTGATGGCCTTGTGCAGCTTCCCATCATCTGAGAGAGAGAAAGAGAACAACATTGATCTTTGAGCTGACATGGTTCAAAACAACTCACTCTGCTTTTATTCCTCCCCTCTTTCGGTTGGTTGATTTATTTTGTTGCAAAAAAGGAAAAAGCGGCACCTGTTCCGATAAAAAGAACGTCGTAAGCTCTCTCTATCCCTTGGATCTTGTGCACGGCGATCTGGGTGTAGCGGACGCTGCGTTTTAGCAGGAGGGGGGAACTGCGGATCACGCTGTCCATCAGGAAGTGGTCCTTCACGAAGTTGAGGACCTTATCAGGCATGTGCAAGGACGACTGGATGCCCATTTGCCTGGCGTGGTTGGTGACACACTTCAAAGGAACAAACGAGAGATGAAAATATAAGTCTGATTAATCAAGTATTTAGGGTATGAAGGGTTTCCTTTGAATCCTTTTTGAGCATTTAACGTCTCTTAGCATCCTGTTTATTTCTCTAATGTGTGTCTGGTACCATCCGAGTTGATGATCATCTCCCCCTAATGGTCAGGGGCAATTTTATTATGTCAAGCTAATTTACAGCTTTTCTTAAAGGTATAGTGGAGGACTTTCATGAATTTTTGAAAAGAAAATAAGAGCACATGCACAACCCTGTACCCACTCCCGAGAGGGAATGCCTATTAAAAGAGTGTGGGAGCGTGCACAAGCGCATTTCTCCTCGTGCACGCTCTGTTTATAAGTTGTTGTTTGCATCGCTCATACAAGCTTACTTTCCATAAGAAGATTTGCAATTTTTCCACTATGTCAGACTCACCATCGCTTTATGAAAATGGGGACGAGCATGTAGGACGACTTTACGTAAACATATCACCAGAATGATTGACAGTTAGGAGGACCACTTATTTAGATGATCCACCCAGAAAAAAAACATCCTCCACTATACTGTACGTTTAAGTGGAGTTGTTTTTGCTAATTGCAGCAGTTTTCCTCTGCGTGTTTATTCGTTGGCATCCTTTATGCGTTTTCAGGGCGTTTCAACCTCGCTGCTTTCATTACTGTGATTGCAGCATTTCACTGTTTTTCTTTGCATGTGCTTTTTTTTATGTTTGTGTGGTAGTCTAATTTCACATTTTGATAGTCCTGTTTTTGTGTTTTCAGGATTTTTTTTTAATAAACTCAGAACAAAAGACATTATCTATGGTTACAAAGTGACTGATAAAAAAGAAAAAAAGGTTAAGGGGTATGAATACTTTCAGCAGCCACATTAATCTGACCAGAAAGAAACTTTTAAAAACAGAGAAATACATTCCTATCTGGATTTGCATTTTAAAGTCATACATTAATAAAAAAAAAAAGCCCGCTTATTTAACCATGTTGTGCTCTTATATACAATTTCCTGCAGAAATTGGTCTAAATAGTTCATTTTATTAAATACTTTAATAGCCTGTAACATATTTAATAAACCAACTAAAATAACTCACCGCCCCGGGCCGTGGCTCCGGTACTGGGTGGTTGTAAGTGTACCACAGCTGGTTCTCCCTGTTGACTTCTCTATAGCGGCCACTGAAGGCCGCTTCCACCTGAGCCATGCTGAAGGCACACACTGCCGAGCTGCCCGACGCTCCTTTATACCTGCCAGCAAAGATGCTCTTTTTAGCCGGTGGGAGAGCTGATTTAAACAGACGACAGCGGGCAGAACTAGCATCATCGGCCTCACCACTGTGAAGTGAAGACGCCGTAGAAGACGGTGCTCTCCCAGCTGTCTCCTGTGGGCTTCAGAACAAACATATCCTGGATGATGTTGAAGGGGAAGCCGTCGTCGGGGAGGGAGCACAGGAGCTGGGCCTTCAGGAAGGTGGTCCACTTCTTCTGCAGCACCCGCTCTCCTCCTTTGTCCCCCTGAAAGGAAATCCACATTGTTGCAGGATATCACAGGAGATTTTCTGTTGCATTATTAATTGGGTGAGCACCTAATCTCTGCTCATTCCGACAGGGTCTGCAGGGCTGTGTGTGGCCCCGTGATAAGAGGGGATGGAGGTCAAGAGGCTGTTTCATATGAGCAGCAGCAGCAGGGGCTTAAAGTTTAACCCACATCTGATACCAAGAGGAGACGTTGTAGCTGAGGTGGTTAGAGGAGCAGGCCTTAGCCTCTGAACTCAGTCTGTGTGTAAAAGATTTAAAACCAGTAGAGCTGTAATTACTAAATTTCACATCAGACCTTGATGGGGTATATGCAGAGCTCCAGGGGAGGATTTACTATTAGGCAATACTACTGTAGGCAGTTGCCTAGGGCCCCAAGTTCTCCTGGGGGCCCCATAAACTCTGTTTACATATATAGTTAATACAGCTATTCCTTATTCTGTATTTTTGATAAAAATACTTTCACTAAAAAGCCATTATGCGTCTCAGCCCCCCCCCTTCAGTGTCCACCATAATGAATCAGTCCATTTGCTGCAAATGTTCAGAAAGGTCCAAACAGACAGCAGCAAACCATTTGAAAACAAACAATACAAAAAGCAGTGTTATTAACTTAGCACTTTTGTCGCAATATTTAGGGGCTTTTCAGACCGCTCTAGTGCTTTTATTTCAAAAAAGTGCCTGGCACCAAATCTAGCTACTTTTTTCTGCTTCTGAAGACTTTGATAGCAACATATAAAAGCATTGAACTCTGCTCTCCAGAGCAAGTAGATTGGTAACCCCGCCTCCTGCTCTCCTCTATCTTGTCTGCTGTCATGATTCATGCAGCTATTATTTCATCCAAATGAAAAATAGAGAACAGATAAGCAGATAATGGCTTGTCTACAGTGAAAAGAAGGACTGGGTGATTTACTTTTGCCTTTTTGGAAACACAGGAAGGAGCAATCAGCTTAGTGCTTTGAAAAAATCTTTCATTGCTTTCGATACAGCATGAAAAGTCAGCCGAGTACAGAACATAGAGAGGAAAACAACAAGAAAAGGGACAAGAAGAGAGGGACAAAACCTAGAACAGATAATGTATGTCCATTCTATTAAAATTTCTGTGTTTGTATAATGGGTCTGTTTTATGTGTTGTCTTCTCAATTCAGAGGGCCCCCTGCCTGTCTTTGCCTAGGGCACCAAATTTCCTAAATCCGCCCCTGCAGAGGTCAACTATAATTAAACAATGGATTCGAAAGTTTTTGTATGAAAAAGTGTGAGCTATTTTTTTTTTTGAGGATTACTTCCATTATTTAAAGGTATAAGTAAAAGAGATGATTTCATGTTTAATAAATCATCAAACCATCTATAGGTGAAACTAAACAAATGAATAATAAAGGGACTCTTGATTTCCTGACAAAAGATGTATAGGAAACAAACTGCCTTAGAGTCTGGAATAAAAGATGTCCTCAAAACAACACCTTTAAAGCTGCCTTCCTGCATTTAGTTAAACCTCAGAGAACGGGTTTAACTACCCGCAGGAGATATACAGACGTGTCCATTCCCTGTAACAGGGTTTTAACAATGGCATTTTAACATTAGGAACATGTACAATCATGCACATCTGGTCAGAGCAGACTGAATATTTCTTTTTGCATCTTTGGTGTACATCGTGCTTTTATTCTGCAGGGTAGGATGCCTGTAGGTGTACAAACGACAGCCTTAGACGGCGTCTCTCCTAACTTCCTGTGCGCCACGGGGAAAATCCTCACTCATCTCACGGTGCACAAACTCACACTGGAGCTGGAGATTTAGATTTCCCTAATTTGCTTCCTGTGTGACCCAATGGTTCCAGAGTTCAGTATTTAACCTCAGAAACTCCTCAGAAACCATCAGCTGTGGTCTTGTGGTTGCATTCCTTATATATTTACTGATATCATAGACAAATAAATAAAATGGGTCTGTATAAAGTAAAAAAAAAAAAAAATGAAAAGTTGTAAAATTTACTGAGTTTCATCCATTTTCTGCACCCCTATAGAAAGCTCCTAATCCCATCAGAACATAAAGACTTCTTTAAAATCTGGATGAACTCCTTAAATCATCATGCAATGCATCCTTTTTGTCTGTAGAGGGCGCCATTAAGGTCAGATGATGGAAGATATTGGTTTCTGTGGGCTCTGAAATGGAATAAAAAAGATGGAGCCTAATTAAAACTAGGATTAGAGGTTTATGGGATTTAATATGTGGAAAACCAAACTTACAAAGGACATTTTAAACAAAAGGAAAATGCCAGAGAGTCATGCTGCAAAATATTGCTTGCTTGTTTCTGGAGATGATATGTGGAAATGGAAAGAAATTCTGTTAATATTTACTTCTTAGGAACTGACTGGACCTTCTGTCCAAACAGCTCCTCCTACGAGTGAATGACTCACTCCCTTTTCGTCTGACACAAAATACTCCCATAAGCACTTCTCCTCACATTCCGCTTGTGAACACAAGCCGGCGGACCCTCCTACAAAGTACAGCCAGCGAGTGGAGCAGGAGGAGCAGGAAGGGGAGAGAGCGGGAGCAAAACGATATCCAGGCAGTCCTGAGAAGCATCTCCTTGAAAATGCAGAAACAATTCCTGCACGACAAGGAGCGAGAAGGGCTTAGAAAAAGTGCAAAACTACAACAACTTCCTCCTCTGCGTGCGTCACACAAAGCATCCAGGGAGCTGAACCTCCACAGTGAGGAGCAGCCCTCGTTCCTGCTCTCTCTCAGCTGTCCGCTGCTGCTGTGGCAGTGTTCTGCTGAGCATCACATCATTTCAGCCACACCCTTCTGGCAGCCAAAAACAAAACAAAACAAAAAAAAAAGCCCAGCATTACACGACACTCGTAGGTTTTTACAACTCACAGTCATACAGGCCTTCCGGAGTGAAATGAAGGTAACTTAGGAAAGCTGCTCACACACAAACCTACTCTCCAAAGTCCCTGACTGAACACACCTGAATAAACACAAGGAATAGGGAGTGGGAGAGAGGAGGGGAACAGATGGGAAACAACTCTGACTCTGGGCTGTAAAGCTTTCCTTCCCAAACAGTAGTCGGAAAACTACGGGAACAAAAAGGAGACTTTCCCTTTTTTTTATTATTTCCAATACGTGACAAGAAGCCTGTCTTCTTTCTGAGCTCATACCCAGATGACACTGGACACGCGAAATGATTGAGACATTCAATAAAAACACGCAGCAACTCATCTGAACTCGGTCCAATGAACAGAGAGAAACGGAGGATTATGTTTTCTGTCTTTCTCGTAAGTGTTACTCCGTAGAAATCCCTTCAGGAATGAAATTCCAAAACGCTGCATCTGCATGGGTAGTTGGAGATCTGAGTGGAGAATCCATCACCAACCTTTTTCAATCAGCTGTAACAGATGATGGATGCTGTTCAGGCTGCAGTATGCATTCAAATGTTCAGTAAATACATCAAGCAGAAAGAAGCTTTTTTCAATGCAGTCCTTATTAAATAAATATATTACTGTCAGTTTTTCCGCTTTCTTTTGGCACAGTTAAAATCAAATCAAACAACCTAAAAAAAAACAAATCTTCTACATGCCTTTATTGGCATCACATAAGATGAATTTCCAAAAAAGTTAAAAAAAACAATCTTTGTTTCCAAGTTTGAAGACGTTTTGCTTCCCATCAAGGAAGCTTTCTATTCAAAATGACCACGCTTTGTTGGGCTACTCTATAAAACCTCAAACTCAACGCTATTCCTGACATTTTGAATTGAAAAGCTTCCTGGAAAAGCTGAGAATCTTCACCAGCATGTAATATGAAACCTTCTCGGAAAGATTTTATTTAGCCTATTAACAAATGAAAGTTATTTGCATTTATTAAACTTTCATTCTTCAGTGCATTTCCATACACTCTGTGTGGCTGCAGCAATGCATTTGGAATACATGGATTTTAGAAACATCTAGCAACACTAACACAAATAGAAGCCAGTTTTCTTTGCGAAGACGTTTACATCAATCCAAGCTGGTGTAGTTAATGGGTTCCATAAGCGTTTTTTTTTTTGCTGTTTTCTGCAGAACTGCTGCATCAGCTGAAGTAATGGTATTTTAACCTGCATGCTTTTTCAAAGCGCTGGTAAATGCTTAATATTTAAGGTGGTCCACAGAATACCTCCTTCTTAGTGTCCCGTCAGCTTAGGCCTACAGCATGATGGGACTGGTTGATCTGTGGTGTCAGTAGAAGAGCTCCCCTGCTGACAATATTAAGTGTGTTTTTGATCTTAGAGTCTCCAAAAACTTGAGGCAGAAGCTTTGCTCCTGAGGCACAGCTTCAGTCTGGCAGAGTCGGGACCAAAGGGCAAAATGGAAGGGAGGGGGGATCATGGGAGTAGCCCCCCCCAACGACAGCTGCAATAGCATGAAGGAAGAACACCTGAGAGTCATGGGCCAGTAGCAGGCAACCCATGTCAGTCCTCTACCCCTGCCTGATGCTCATCAAAGCCTGCCAATTGCAACTGACAGCTTAACCCCGGTCAGACAGTTTTACAATCGGACGGTACAATCCACACAGCTATGACAGATCTGTAACGTTAACGACTGTTGTCATGTTTGCAGTTTGCTTCAGCGCCGTCTTCCACAGCAGACGTCATCATAAATAGAGCAACTAAATGGCTGAAACACTGGCGGTTAAAGGTATAGTGGAGGATTTTCGAGAATTTTTTAAAAAGACTCGTCACTTCAAAAAAAAAGTATGTGCACAACCCTGTACCCGCTCTGGAGAGGGAACGCCTATTAAACTCATGCGAGAGCGTGCATGAGGAGAAATGGGCTCAGTTTTAAAGTTGCTGTTTGCATCGCTCATTCAAGCTTACTTTCCAAAAGGAGATTTGCAATTTTTCCACTATGACAGACTCACCACCGGTAAGTGAAAATGGGGTCGAGAGTGTAGGACGGCCTTATGTAAACATATCACCAGAATGATTGACAGTTAGGAGGACCACTTATTTAGATGATCCACCCGGAAAAAGAAAAATCACTTCAGTTTAAAGGGACATAGTGTAACTCAGGGATGCTCAAGTCCGGTCCTCCAGAGCTACTATCCTGCAACTTTTTGATGCAACCCATTTTTAACACACCTGAATCAGATGAGTAGCTCGTTACCGTGCCTCTGCTGGACTAAATGAGGGGATTGAGCCTTTCGATTCAGGTGTGTTACAGAAGAGAAGAGCTTTCAATGACTGCATTTAAATGTGTGTTATTACTGATGTATTACCTCCACTAACACTCAGATACATTTCATAAGGCGAGACTGTTATGTTAGTTTATACGCAAGGCTGGTTACCTATAGGCGAAGCATCATTTAGCCCAGTCAGCCATCTTGAAACTACAGACGCCGTTGGGGATAATATGGTGCTAATGTGCAAAACGGTTTCACCATCCTCAAGAAAAAGCAGAACTTCAACGACGTAACCGGAAATGTTTGAAAAACAGGGATAAATTTTGGGCAGGCCTTCTCTAGATGGAAGGAGCTAATGAAGGAGAAATGGTTTAAAAAGGACACTGAAATTACCCTGTTTCTCCTTGACATGTAAATGAACTGTACTGCCTAAGTTAGCGTAAAGCTAACTTTTTCCATCTGGTTTAGTTAGACAGTGTTGCACGTCACCAAAGAAAGCATGAAAGAGGTTCCTGCAAACATATACTAATCTTGTTGGTGCAGAACTGTAGGTTTACATGGGTTTAGTAGCCATGGTGAACGCTGGCTTTTTCCCACAGGGTTAGGGCTAGCTTGTAGAGACTTCCCTTTACCTTGGATGGCATGGTTACACCTGCGTTGTCATATAGTGTTTGTTTGAGTGAAATATTCCAATTTAACCGATGGATAAGAGTCATTCTTACACAATAGCCCTTTAAAGGCAAGGTGAACCCGTTTTAAAACTCTGTTTAGAGGAGATCAGCTGATCTGTTCCTCTTGTGACCTCTTCAACCCAAATACTGATGTTTTTCATTATTATTGCCATCATTATTTTGCAAAGAGTTAAATGCTTTATTACCCAGCAGAGTTTTGGAGCTGGTGGACATTTTTATGAAGTGTTCTGAAACTATGCCTTCCTGTAAAGCTCCCCCTCTGAAACAACGTCAGCCAGGGGCAAAAAAAAGGGAGCATCTGCATTCCAGTAAAATAAAAAAGGTGCTTCACGGAGCGGAGAATGCTATTCTTCTCATTTTGTTTCACAGCTGAACTGCAGCAAGTCGCCTCAGTCTGTGGGCCTTTCTGTCACTGATTTCCATATTTAGAACCCAGGAGGTGTCGCATCTCCAACTACCAGAGCCTTGCAGGACTAAGTCATTAGGCTGTCACTTGAGATTACATGCTGTCTCCATGATTCCTCAAATTATTGCCTCCGCCAGAAAGAAGCATCAGTCAGGAAAAGGGTTGCTGAATGCATGTTTATACAACAGCTTTAAAAAAATCTTCATGAGAGATGAAAAGTCTGGATATCCAGGGTTGATGGATTAAACTGAACTCAGACAGACTTCAGGAACAAGCGAGCGGCTAAAATAGTGCAAATAGTTTCTGCAGTTTAAATGTTTTCTGTGTATTAGAAGAGGAGAGGGGTAGAAAAAGAGGAAAACGCATTTTATTTTCCCTGCGAAGCATCCTTGAATACTAATAACGCCTGCAAAGCTCAAAGGGCTGCTGGTGAAAGGCGAGGAGCTGGTGGGATGGACGAGTGCAGCTGACACTGTGAGGGAGATGGAAGGAGAGGGGAAGATGACATTGCAGAGAAACGGGAGGGAGGGAGGGAGAATGATGATTCAGACAAGGAGGAAAAAAAATCTGCTGAAAACATGTTTGTACAGTCGAACAGAAATAAAGGCCTTAAACGCACCAGCAACACTACATCCAAACAAGTGAGATGTGGACAAACGTGCCCCGACATGGGAGTGGTCCCCGTTTGTCTTAAGGAAGATTACCAGCAGGAAGTTTTCAGACTTTTTGTGTTGTTTTCATTTGGGTGACACTCCCTCGTCTTACCTTACACACGCGAGCGATCCGCGACACGATGGTGTTGTCAAAGAAGTCAAACTCCTTCCCCGCCTCGCTGAAGAAGAAGTAAATCTTGTCGTCGTCGCCCACACGGTTTCCAGGCGGCTGACTCTCCTCGATGTAAGCCGACCCGACAAAGACCGGATCTGTCCACAACAGAGATGATAGACAAACAGGTTCTGCATTTACCACTCAGACACTCACTGGGATTATCTGCTTTAAACTGGAGCAAAGTAGGAGCGCCATGCAACACGGTCCTGAGAAAGCAGAGGAAACAGGATGCTCTATGTAATTGCACTTAGATGCCTCATCAGGACCACTCTGCACAGATTACCAGGAGATCAAAAGACAAGAGCCATCCTAATTGTGCGCTGCGTGCAGAGAGCTCCAGCAGATGCCATTTTCATTCTGCTGCAGATAGGACCATGCTGCAGCAGTCAACCGAGGGTCAGCTATGCTCCCATTAGTGACTTTGTCTCACTAATGACGGCCGCTTTTCAGAGCTTATCTGCTTTGGTCGTTACCTAATGGAGGACATGGAGCAGGAATGAGCAAACAAACTCACCTTGAAGCCATTTTAAGGAGTTTTCCGTTTTCAGCGCCGTTCCCTGACCCAAACTCTTGTAAATGACAGGCTCGTTCCCTTGGAAGTTGCTGACAGTGCCGGTGTAGAGCTCCCCATCTGGAAAACAACAACAAAGTTACCAAAAACAATCTAAAAAAGGAGTAACAATAAATGAGCCAGTGAACAGAACTTAATCATTTATCCCCAATTGACTGAGAGGACATTAAGGCTATCAAGTCGATTTCTAAATTCCTTGTTTGCAATCCAACTTTTTTTTGGATAAACCCTTAATCTTCTTTAATTCATTTCCACAATCATTGTGACATTAGTTTTAACCAGAGTCCAGCTTTATTTTTGAACTCCAGTGTTTCCAAAACTCAAATTTAAATTTACCAATTTACACTTTCTAAATTTGAACATAGTTTAGGATTCAGTGTGATGACTACTACAGAACCCTTCTTCATCTGTAGCTTTCCCAGAGCATGATGCTGCCGCCCCCATACCACAATGTTGCCAGGTTGTTCTTTCAGAGATTCATGGTGTCGCTATATATTGCTTTATTTACCTTTTCGTAATTTCCAGCTGTGCTCTATCAGAGCATAAAGCTCAGAGGTTTGGATAACATCGATTTCAAAACCGTCAGCAGACCTCAGAACTTTAGGAATAGCTTAAATAATTCAAGGTAGACGTGTACCCAATGCTAAACCTAATACACTATTAGTGAGGGTGTGAATAATTACAATTTTTAGCACCGCTTCAAATAGATCAGTTTGTTTGGTTTTTGACCAAAAATTATGAGAAGTCAGAATTATTTCATTTATTTTATCATTTGAAGTGCATAGCATCTTATCCACTGCAGCTGAAGCACATAAGTCAAACTTTATTTACGCATCTTCTTTTAAGATATGATGATGACAAACGAATCCAGGATAAACTACTACAGCAGCCCGCAGCTAAAAGCCATAAAAAACACAGAAGTGAATAAACAGCTGGTTTAAATGATACGTTTCTATCTTTGAAGACATCGTTGGTCTTGTGAGCAGTAGATTGTCTGATCTCTTTCCAAAGCTGATTGCTTCAAGACAGAAGGACTCTGAAATCCTCCTATAACCAGTGACGTTGCATCACCATCAGACTCACATGGGAAAACTGAGCAGGGCTTGTACCAGCACTTTAGGACACATTATAATCGCTTTATAATCCAAAGGCATGAGGATCTATTTCCTGTTTGGAATGTGAAATATTGGAGAGCGGCGAGGAGAAATTTCTGCTATAATCAAAACTGGTGGAATAACACCAGAATCAAAGGCTGCATCAATGTTCCTAACAAAACTGCTCTTTATCTCAAACCTGCTTTTTCCTGCTGCAAAGATAACCACGTCTGAGACAAAGTGGTCTGCCCTCCATCGTTTAACAGAGACTAAGCACTTTAAGAGACTGTAAGCTCTGCAGTAGAACAGGGAGTGAGGGAATAAACCCTCTCCCACGCCCACAGCATCAGGGTTAATTATTCACTAATCGCCTGTTAAAAACAAAAACCTCCTTCTCCTCACTTCCGGCTATTTATTAAAGACTCTGACGCAGACAAACAACATTAGGAGCCACATCATGACTCATTACGGAGTTAAAGACGGAGCGGTTTCCTGTCCGCTCCTCGGAGGAAGTGCTTCATTAGAAGTGAGAGTCTTTCTACACTGTAAAAAGCAATACCTTCAATTATACATCCTGTCTTATTTCGATGATTTACTTACACTTAACATTTTGAGTTCTAAAATTTTAACTTAATATCATTAGTTTGTGGCATTCCGACTCAAAATTGTAAGCTATTTCAGTGAAATGTTAATTTGGGCACATCAATGGAACCTAATATTTTGAAGTTTATTTTAACATTCTTTATTTAATGTTTTTATTACAATGAAACATAAAACACACACAGAACTTGGGGCACTGATACATAGATAAAAAAAAAAAGAAAAGCTAAAAAAATACCAGATATTAAACTTGATTATGCTTCCTTTTTCTTGTCTGTCACCCATTTAGACGTTTATTGTAAGAATGTCCTCTTATGCGTAAAAGATTTTTCCATGGAGTGGATCTCCTCAACGACTTCCCACCAATGATCCAGCTTGGGAGAGTTTCTTTAGCCAGGACGGTGTAATGGCTTTTTTGCTTGCAATGAATAGAATTTTAAAAAGCCACTCGTCTTCTTTTCGAAGTACTTCTTCAGATATCAGTCCCAGCAGAAAAATTCTGGGCTCCTTAGGGATGACGTACCCCAAAATGATTCCAGTATTCCGACAGATTCCATCCCAGTAAGGTGCCAACTTTGGGCAGTACCAAAATATATAAGTGTGATTGGCGTTAATATTTTCAGTTTTAAAGAAGAAACTGTATCTCTTAATCTGATAAGGGATTCAAAATGAAGATAAGATTTTTGTCACACCTGAGCAGATGGTACCCCCCCTTACAGCGACTTATTAACTGAAGTTGATCACCTTAAGCCTGGCGTACACTGTGATTTTCTGGGCGATTTTACAGTCGTGCGAGAATCTTTCAATCGGGCCGACTTTCAGCCTGATCGTGCGTCGTGTGGTGTACGGGGGTAACGAGGGGCGATTACCTTCTCACGACCACCTCCCGATCAGGTATCGTGAGGTCGGGAGAAAATCAAACATGTTACCTACCATCGTGGGCCAATCGTTCAGTACAAACAAGTATTCTTCTTTTTCTTCTTCCTCTCAGATGGAAACACAGCAGCATGGCAGTGGTGTGAGTGACATGGAGTTCTTTCTGTAAATTGACAGACTGTAGTAGCCACGTTTGCTCAGCCATGTCTTTGTCCAAATAAGTCATCTTTTCTTTTTAGGGCTTTCAGCAGAAAATTGCACAAATAGCTAAGGCAGTGCATTTCACTCTAGTGAGCTTCATATTCCTCCTTTATTTGTTTGGCTTCCGGATAGACGAATCAGAGCAGCTCCATCTCACTGTGGAGCTGAGTCCGACATGGTTTTTAGTCGTACAGTGTGAGCAGGTAGTTTGCATGAGAACGTCGGGCCGCACATACATCGTGAGCTGTACGGCTAAACCCTGCGGTTTAGTGGTACACTGTGAGCTGCAGCTGCGTGCAATGATTGAAAAAAATTGCATAGTGTACGCCCGGTTTTAGCTTACTAAGGATGTGAAAAGCAAAGTTAGGGATGGTTACTTTTTGTCAGCGATATAAGGACCTTAGCAAATGGCTTTCAAGGCATTTGGCTATTTTTGAACAAAGTCCAGGGAAAAGCAAGTAAAACAAGGTAAGTTTAATTTATCAACAGCCCCACAGTGAAGCCTACTAAAAATGATGTGGAGAAGGGATAAGGACTCTCCAATCTGTCCTTCCACATACTGCAGATCCACTCAACCAGACCTAAGGGGTGGATTCACTAATCAATGACTCCGTCCACCATTGTTTACGATGCAGCAGGGAGACGCCAAAAACCAACACCATAAAATCAGGTTCAGGTGCCCCTTACAGATAGTCCCAGCTCAGAACCACACACCTCAACCTATCTGCTGTGGGACACTGACTACTAGAGGGACAAGCAGGCCCTAATCAGTGCCTTCTTACATCTTCTATGTGCCATAACACTCAAAGACATCTGGAGCAATAAAGTCTTGAATTTGTCATCTGCTGAGACTTACAGAAAATGTGAAGAATTCTGTCATTTAAAGCAGGTTTTGGTCAGTAGATTATGTTGTGCTGTGAGTTATTTCAATTCGATGAACTGATTTTTAACAATTGGTCAATAATTAAACAACTGGTGTAACTGAAATAATTGAGTTAAAAGGATATATCATTGCAAGTTTCATTGACAAGAAAATGTTAGTTTTAGCGAATGATAATGTAATATAGTTCGTCACTTCAACTCTTCAACTCTATGTATCGAATTCAAACAAGAATTTAACAACCTGGAAACTTTCAAAAATTACCTTCCTGAGTTGAATGGTAGCCTTTCTTAAAGTTGAGTGAACTCATGTTTTTAAGGCAGCAGTTGAACTTAAGTATTTAAGTTGAACTATCCTGACAATTATTACCGCGTACGTACCCACGATGATGGCGGTGGATTTGTACTCCGGATTAAAAGGGCAGCGGCTGCGCCCGTCTTCCGACACGATCTCGCCCGCTTTGTCTCTCACCAGTGTAAATGTGGATGTGTTCTGGGGGATAAATAGAAAAACCAGGTGAGGGAGAGATCATTTAATGTTTCTGTTATGATGAAATCAGATAACTGAAGGTAGCTCAGAGGCCTCCAGCTCATTTCATCTATTGAAAAAACAACAAAAAAAAAACATTTTTTTGTCAAAGTGAAAGTCAAAACATCTTAAATGCAAAGTTTTGATGCAAAGTTTAATTTTTCTATGAAGTATATCATCTTTGTTTCTGTAATTAATTTTTAGCATATATCTGGTTTATTTTCATGTAAAGAGAATTTTTAGAGGGAAAACCAAGTTTGAAAATGGCTGGATCTTTACCTAAATCAAACTGGTATTTGGGCGTACCTAAATGCGATCATTTTGTTAGTTTATATCAAATCCCATCAAGGATCCATCTCAATGATTCATCTTCAAAAGCCAATCAGATGTTAATTCTTCATCATCTGAAAAGCCACCCTAGATGCATTTCCCCTCATTCCTCTTACAAAAATCTGGTTGCAATAAACGCTCACAAGTAGTAACTAATCTGCTTAAAGCTACACAGACCAGCTGTTAATGCTAAACGTGAGACTTATGCAATAAAAGGGAGTCAAATGCTGTCAGTGAGGAAGTATTAGAGGAGTGGTGCAGGCTGATCCTCAGAGTACAACAACTTTCAATAATAATAAAAAAAAAAAAACGTTTTACAGCTTTTACACAAAAACAAAACATTTAAATGCTCTCATTTAAAACTGATCATTTTAGCTCCTGCTGCTAAATTTGCACCTACTGAATTTAAAATTGCGGTTCTTCTAGCTACCCTGTTCTTTAAAGAGTGACACTAGGAGTCAGGTTCCTAACTATAGGTATAATTAAAATATAGTTAACTTCATAGGATGGATGGTTGGCTTTTTTTTGGTATTTTGCAATCTCCAAGAAGCCTAATATGTTTTTCTTGAAGGGTACGTGAAGTGTAGCAATAATCCTTTAGTACATCAATGAGATTTTCAGCAGCAGGTAGGGGCTATGCTGGCTGTGTGCTTCCTGAACGGGGCCGCCTGTGGAGCTGGTTGACAGTTGCCTTTTGTATCTCTGCTTCTTTTTCTGTCTCCTTGAACCCCAGTTAGCCTCAGCAGATGGTCGCTCACACTGAACCTGGTTCTACTGGAGGTTTCTTCCTGTTAAAAGGGAGTTTTTCCTCTCCACTGTTGCTACAAGCTTGTTTGGTGTGAGGTATTGCTGAGGACTCGACAACAAATTGCAAGCAAAACACGTTGTTGCAATGTTACCCAGGAGGAAGATGTCTTGCAAGTCAATGACTGGATGCAATCAACTGATTTTCCTTGACAGAAACATTTGACCAATCTGATTGTACTGTATTGTCTCTGTAAAGTGCTTTAAGATGACGTGTTGTGAATTGGCACTACATAAATAAAATGAATAGAATCTATTTGAGATACATTCTTGGTTCACTCAACCTAAATTACAGGAAGAGAGCAGGATTTTTACCAGAAAACAGGAAAATGTTCCATTTAAAAATGTTGAGTCTTTTACCAAGGTTAGGTTAAAGTCAACTATGGTCTTACATTATGGAGACACCTGTCAGAAGCTCTAACCTCACAAACACTAGAGGATAAACGTCACAAAGACTAGAGGATAAAATAAGCCCTGCCAAGAATAAAAAAAAAGATTAATTAGTCTGCACAGCAGCAGACTCCGGAAATCTGCTTCCTTATCTTCATAGAAAAAAGATAATCTGGATCACGAGGATACGTCAAAAAATCTGAATTTGTACTGCAACCAGAGGGTTGCCGGTTCCAACCTCAACTCTGTCGGTCTCAAGTATTTTGTCCTTCGGTAAGACACTTTCTTGCATCTGTACTGCCTACCGATGGTGATCAGAGGGTCTGGTGGCGCCTGTATGTCAGTCCCGGTTCTAATAGTCATCCCCAGGGCAGCTGGGGCTACGATGTAGCTCATCACTTTGGAGTTGCCTCACTTGGAAAAATAGCTATATGAGTACAGGCCATTCGCCATATTGAGGCCAAAATTCTACCAAAAGATATGGAGGGTTACTGTAAAAAGATGTCTCTCAGTAATGCATGTAAACTAGAACAGAACTGAGATTTTAAAGATGTGTAATGATAATATCTTGTTCCGGGGATCAAGCAGACAGAACAAGGACAGGACGGTACAAGTGGCGCCCCTGCTTGGACAGTCCTCATGCGTCTTCATTACTAAATGCTTCACTCTGAGCTTGTTTTAGTTCATGTCAGTCATCTTGATTGTTTAGTGTCTCTTCTGGGCCTCAGTGTCCTGTTACACTGCTCCTAAACCCTCCTGTGTCTGTTTGCACAATAGCTTTTAAAAAAACAAACCATTTATCAGCGGTAATATTGGGCCTCTCTGAGACTAGATTCTTAGGAATGAATATGTTGTCTCTCACAAACAAAAATGCCCTCTTTTGGCAACGTGAGTGCTGCTGTAAGCCCAGCAGAGACCTCATCCATGCTCGGAAGCCCGGTTCAGGTCCTAGCGACCTGCCAAGTCATCTCAAACCCGAGACACGCCGTGTTTTCCTTCCACTTTGACGTCAAAGCTGAGAGCTTAATTCCCCCTTGTTTAAATACAGAGAGCAGGCTCCAAACTCAGCTGAGGCTCTAATGGTAAAATCAATGTCAGGTCTTCTGATAGTTACCTTTACTCTTGTTGTACTTGACAGATCTACTGCTTGTTTCCTTTCTAGGAGCTTCTGTGCTCTCCCCCTGTTGCCTTGTCTGGCTAAAAAGCCTCAGCGTGATTTATTAATGCTTGGATCCAACAAAGTCACAGAGGACAAAAAGCGACTGAGTTTGATAAAAAAAAAAAAAAACAACTTAAAGCATGCTAAAGTAAAAGGTATTTTTATTTTTTTATTTATACATCTTCTTTATTCTTGCATTTGAACAGAATGCAGAACGAGACATTTGACTCACTATGTAGGCACAGACGGGGCTGAAGGCGTAGGTACCGCACACATAGAGATGAGTGCTGTTGAGCCGCAGGAGAATTTTGATGTAATTGAAGCAATCGGTCTGAAAGAGAACAAACGTCAGGTTCAGAAGTGTCCAGAAGCACATTTCCAAGTCCCTTTCAGTCTAATTTCTAATGCATTTTATGATACTTGTACAGTTATTCAACAGAGGATAGATGCATGGGTGGATTCATAGATAAGATGACATACAGAGAGAGACAAATGGAACTTTTAGTGACAGAAAGAGTGGAAAAAAAACATCTTGCAATTCAATCATTCCAGGTTTTCCTTTCTCCACCTAAAAGTACCTACACCTGGAAAACTCTTAAACCTCCAACCTCCTCAAACCGAGCAGCTTTGATGTTGACAGAGACACTTCCCCAATACTTTGGGGAAAACCTGCCAGCCTTACAGAGCAGTTGCCTGCAGAGCTTTGTGTAACACAGATAGATCTGTGCACTGCAGCAGTCGGATTACTGAGGCTTCACACTCAGGGACACAACAGCTGGCATGACAACAAGCTAACAGACAGACTGAAGAAGAAGAAACGGAAGGAGCCGTTCCCACAGGGAGTCTGCAGACTTGATGAACACGTTTGGATCTACTGGAAAGGTTTGTCAGCTCGTCACTTATGTAATTGCCTCGCATGTGAAACAAATGGGAGATCGCAAGGGAAGACCCAACGCACATTCTGGGAAGGAAACAAGGAAAGATTTTTTACAGGGAATGCTTTTCTTCTGTGCTTACCTCCAGGTTTTTTCCTTTAAAGCTGCACTCTTCTCTTTTTCCAGCAGGAGTGCCCCATGTTAGCTAAGGAGGAGAACCAAAAAAAGGTTGAATTAAGAAAAAACAAAGATTAATGAACCAATTTAACTGTTTGATGAACCTGAATGGAAGGTTCTGACCAAAGGTGCATAGATCAGGGAATAAAATAGAGATACTAGAACCTTATTGGCCAATAGGATCTTAAAGAACACCACAGAGGTGTCCTAGCCAGGGTGCATTTCTAGTTTTGACTGGTGACGTGCTTGGCCCGCCATCATGCTTACGTTCTTCTGCAGCTTGGTCTTGTCCGAGAGGCTGAGGGCAAACAACGCTTCCCTGGCTCCAACGTACAGCATGTCATCCTCCTGGCTGAGCAGCAGAGAGGTGTAATTGAAGACGCCACCCACTGAAAATCTCTTGGCCGATCTCTCCCTTGCATCTGGACACAGAGGAAATCAAACGCACACACATAAACAGAGATAGACAGCAGATGATTATCAGAGAAAGGGACTGAACAAAAAGGAGCAGAAGGGAACAGAACATGTCCTGATGATTAGAGTACAACCAGAACTCAGACGCTTGTTTTTTATTCCTAAAGGAGATAAAGGACCAAAGATTCCCTACTTTTTCCCTCCTTGCATGACTTTTAATCTTACAAGCTCATTATTGCATAAAAAGGTCCATCTGTTCCATCCACAAATGACCATCAAACGACCTCCTCAAATCTGAAGGAGATGACACGTAGAGCTGGTTCCGCCATTTTAATGAAGTCTCTTTTATTCGTCTAGAAGGCCATCTGAAAAATTGTTTATTTTATTCAGGGGTCCATGAGGCACAACAGAGCCACCACTTTACGTCACGTTTTACATCCATGCGAGAACCCGTTTCCTTCTGTTCCCAATTAAGGCTTCTATATTCTGAAGTTCAGTTAGAAGACAGCAGTGCAAGTATACGGTGCTATTTGACACAAACTTTGAGCAAAGTAAGGGCTGACTGTAGTAAATAGAAAGGCACTAAGAGTTTACTTTATGAAAAAAAACATCATGAAGAGAGACACAAATAGGCCATTTTGGCAAAACTACTCATAATTCATGTCAATCTTGGTAAACTGATTATTTATATTTATGCATGGTTCTGTATAAGAGTCACATAAACTTGAATAAATATTAGTTTTACAAGGTTTACACAAAAATGTCACAAGTATATAATGATCTGAAAGCTTTTTTTCTGTTTAAAAAAAACAAAGATGCAAAGAACTTTTGGCTCGGATACAGATTAAAGATCTAAATTTAATATTACCGATTAGGGATGGAAAGGCTAATGGTCATACAGGTCTAATGCCTGGTGAGAAGGCCCGAGGCTACGATGTGATATGTAATCAGAAATGTATCTATCCTTAATCATTTAAAATCTCTATCTGTATTATATTATATATCAATTTATCAAATGATAATCAAATTAAAGGATTTAAAAATAAACGGTATCCCTGAAAAGCTGTGGATTTCTGCCAAATTTCCTCCTTGCGTAATCACTCCGTAGAGCTGCTTGGCCTCGGTAGCCGCATCGTACGGTGGCTAATGTGGGTTTATCCACTGATTTTATTGATTCAAGGTCCTTGCAGCGCCCAGACTACAGCTGCAGCGTAATCAGCGTGAGACTGGTGGAAAAATCTGTACCATTTTAAATGACAGAAAATTCTCACATTTCAACCTATAGAGAGTAACACTTGGATTGCATGTGGAACATCTTAGATAAAATAACGCAGAATTAAACAAGTTTACACAAAAATTACAAAATATGCACATTACCATAAAGAGAGAACAATTAAAGCCCAATTTATACAGATAATCATTACCTCTAAAGGTTTAGTTCATTTTTAACAGCAAGAATTTTCTTTTTTCCCACCCTCTGGCCAAACCCACATTAACCCTTTGTAGGGCAATTTACCGTTTTTGATGACTTGCATACCCCTTACAAATGGAGTCCCAGCCGTCCCTCAGTGAGGTCTAGAAGCACTAGATCTACATCCAGCCATTCAGCATTGCTGTACATCTTATTTTGGCATTTGACCAATTAGATGAGGTCTTGATTGATATGTCACAGACTGTTAATTAAGTTGGGGGGAAAAAAGTTAAAAAGTCAAGAAAAAAAAAAGGTTAAAAGGTTATTTAAAAGTTTAAATTTAAAGTTCAAAATTTAAAGAGTCTAATTAATAATTATATTTAGGTTAATAAACTATAAAATTTGTAATTGCCATTATCTCTCAGGGTTCTGCCCTCTGTTTAAGTTTATTTTTAGTTTCTTTGTATTTGTAGTTGTTTTCTAGCAGTGTTTTGTTTTTGAGTTAGTCTCTGTTGCCCCCTTGTGTTTGTTTCATTTCCCCTTGGCTCCCTTCTAGGTGCTTCCATCCACACCTGTTCCTTGTCAGCTCGTTAGTCCAGTCTTTGTTCTGTCTCCTACGTATCCTCTACCTGTGCAGTTCCTCAGTGCTGGTTCCTCATCTTTTCCTCGCTCCCCATGTGAGTTTTCCCCTGAAGTTTTCTGCTTTTTGGTTCCTTATATGATATAAGGAACCAAAAAGCAGAAAACTTATGTTTTACTTTGGTTTTTGGATTTTGCCTCGGTTAATTCATTAAATCTACAAAATTCAACTCTGCCTCCTCACCTCTGCATTTGGGTCCTCAAAACCTAAACCCAACCATGACAGTATCAGCGTTAGTGCCTCTAAGGTTATGTTGTACCAAGAAAAAAAAAAAAAATCTGTTTCACTCTGAGTGTTTTTAATGAATTTCTTATAGAGGCACTTTTGTTATTTTTCTTAATATATTCGGGCAAGTTGGCGTTTCTTTTTATTACATTGACATTAATTGCTGCCATCAAAATAGCCATATTTTTTATGTTACAAAGGTAATAAGTAAGGAAATATTGGTTTTCAAAGCATTTCACTGAATGCCATATAAAGGATTAAGTTCTTGCCACTTCCACAAGTGGGGAATGTTATATTAAAAAAAGTTAAATTTCTCTATAGGACCTTGGTAAAAAAAAAATAGTTTTATTAGGAATCGGCTCAACTCTGCAGAAGTGGCAAAGATGAGCAATTTACCAAAAGGTTATTTCATCTGATGTTTAATTACATTTTCAAACAGCCTTAATTGATAGCCCAACAAATTGTCACAGGAGTGATCAAATATTTTGTTCCAGCTGCACTGGATGATTTGAATCATTCAGGCATAAAATGAGCGAGATGTTATATCTCCCCAACTATTGTTTGCATACTTCTAAACAGTTTGCAATTTAGGGTCATCTTTGTAAATGTTTGTTCTCTTCCTCTCATTCCAAACATTTAAACATACTCCCCGTCCTTACTCTGCCAAAATAGAAAAAAGATTAAAATAAAAAGAGGTGGCCACAAACTCCATGTGTTTATCCATATAAGATTACAAGCTCGAAGCGGGAGCTGTAAAAACTAATATTTGCCACAATTAAACCATTTACAACCTCCCCGCCCCAAATTACAGTGAGCAACTAGGAAGCCTGTTCACTTTTTCACCCTGACGAAGGAAAACGACAGACAGGACCAAGCAACACGTTTATCTTCAACACTCCAGGTGGTGCGTTGGACCATAATGCAAATACAGGCAGAAAACCGCAATAAATGTTTACAGCCCGCGATATAAACTTCTCAACACACTCACAAATGGTTCATCTTGCACTCAAGGCAGTTTGGCAGGTGATCATCTTCCCCTTGTGGGAGTGAAAGCCAGCTGCACGAGCCGCATCTCGTTCAGATTCAAACGCTGGGCCCTTTCCACATCGACAAACCCTCATTCTCTTTTAAAACACAGCTTTAAACATCTGGAGTCAATCAGGACTGGGGCTTGCAAATAAAAAGAAAAAAATGAAGGGATGGGGGAAATAACTTCCCTTTGTCACTCACAGGTCCTTCAGGACACTAGTCCTTCTGCACAAAGAACGAAAACACAGTTTAAAGGGAATATAGGCCTATTGAAATATATCCTTAAATGCTTATAAAGATAGTCATCCTCTGGCTTGGCAGATCCTGCAATCGGCAGACAAAGGACTGCCATCTCTCCTCCCTACAGAGGGACATACGTATCATGGCCTTATTGTCAAGGCTCCAATGGGTTTGGGACATTCACTGGAACCAAAAAGCAGCCTCTCCTCAGCATATTAAAACTCTCTGACATAAATCACAGTGACAGTCTCTCAGACAGACAATGGAATAACGAGCAGTGGAGAGCAAAGTCATGAAACTTTTACTCAGAGGGAAGACAAAGAGTATTTATCAGGGGGTGGGTGGGAGGGTCTGGGGGAGCTGTGGTAACCTGGATGATTGCATTGAGATCTTGACCTATGAAAAACAGTCTGCAGACATGAAAAGAGAAGAAGAGGATTCAAGGGACAGAAAACCCCAATGGCCAGACAGCAACCAATATGCATCCCATTTGAGATATTGTCTCTATGGAGCTTTTTTTTTTTTTTCCATGCTGTGATTCAGTGGAGAACTTCAGTGTTTTGACTTGTTTGCAGGAGAACGTTGAGCATCCATGGATATAAACCGTTTCACTGTTGGGCTTGGCTTCCATTCATCACCCGGTGGTTTAATCAGCACACTGTCAGCAGGTCAGGCTCTGAACCTCTGCCAGTGATCATTGCACCAACACGGCTGCTTTATTGTCTGTGTTAACCTGCAAAATGGGTAAGTTCCACAAGTCCTAAGAGGCAAACTGAGGCCAATAAAAAAATCAGAGACGATGCATAATCTGACCAAATGTTTTCAACAACAAAAACAATTTTTGCATTCAGTTAAACACACTGAGACCACTATGGAAAAGGCCAGTTTGTTCACAAAAATCGAACAGATGTTACGTTAGTTCAAGAAGAGTTTCAAGGCCCGGTCGGTAACTGGTAGTCCTGGTTGTGCTCATAAAATGGTTCCTTAATGCGTTTTACTTTGTGGATGGAAGCATTGGACTGCTGTGAGAAACATCAGGAAAAATTATTTCCGTGAAAAAAATGCTCTTATCCAAAGCTGTAGGTAGGAGGTAAAAGTAAAATAAATATAAAGTTAAACATTTCAAGTTTTGAGACAAACTTTAAGGTATTTCCGGGTCCTCCTAACTGTCAATCATTCTGCTATCTTCTTCTGTGCATGCTCACTTTCAGGCATACATCTGTGGTGAGCAACGGTTTCAGACAATCTTTGAAGCTCATCTTTCTCACAGCAGTTCCGAAATGGCTGAAGGAGGTCATAAGAGAAGTTTCTACGAAGTGTACAGTATGAGAAGAAAAGAAAGGCCTCATAAGAGGCAGATATATCCCAGAATGCTTTGCACAGAGAGCTCTCCTCGCAAAGCAATATGGGATTTCCTGTCACAGTGGCCCGCTGTTGCTGTAGGCTGTCGCTACCCGACAGCG